GCAAAACTCTGATTTTAAAGCCTTCAACAGGCAACAAGAGTCAGAGTGAGTGCACAAAATGCTCTACGTAGCAAGAGCAACACACTCCTGCCCTCAAGCAGCACCGTCGCAAATACGACGCTTGACTTGATTTGGCTGTTTGTTCTGGTTGCTGGCCAATAACAGGCGCTGCTTGCAGAGCACCTAGGAATTTCTAGTGGCACTACGCCTCTGACACTTCAGCACTGCATCGTACTACCTCCTACCTACACCCATGCTACTACCTGATTAGCTGTTGGCATGGCATGCAGAAGACTGAAGGATCAGGGCGTCCAAATGCCCAAAAATGCTGCGAAGCTGGGGAGGCAGTGCTACTGGAGGCAGGGCCACCAGGCTCCCCAAATCCTACTTATGTGGGAGGGACTTCCTCCCACAGGCTGGGATTTGCAAATGGCAGCACATCTGAGCAAGCGGAAGACACTCGCTGCTCAGGAAAGATGCGTCATGTCAAGATGGAGCGTTTCAGGGATGTTGCAGCTGCTTAGAGTCCCGGGTATCCAAAAGTGGATGCCCAGGATTCGACCTCCTTCCTGAGGGCCTGGATGTCGGCGTTGCCGGGGAGGGCTGCCTCAAAGTCCTTGAGCTTCTTGCCCTTCTCCTCCTGAACCTTGAGCGCGATCTTGCAGCACCTGTCCAGGAAGTCTGCGATCTTCTCGAAGTCCGCGGTGGTGCAGCCACGCGTGGTCATGGCCGGGGCGCCTACGCGCACGCCCCCGGGGGAGAGAGCAGAGACATCGCCATGCACTGCGTTGCGGTTCAGCGTGATGGAGCAATGCTCGCAAACCTTCTCCACCTTGCCACCGCTGAGGCCGTGGGGCCGCAGGTCCCAAAGAATCAGGTGGTTGTCCGTGCCGTTGCTGGCGAGCTTGTGGCCCTTGGCCATCAGTGCCTGTGCCAAAGCATTGGCGTTGGCCTTCACCTGTTTGGAGTACTCCTTGAAGTCCGGGGTGGCCACCTCCAGTAGCTGTGCTGCCAGGCCTCCGATCTGATGATTGTGGGGGCCTCCCTGCAGCGCAGGGAACACGGCCATGTCGATGCGGTCCTTGATGTCCGGCACCTTCTCGCTGTACTTGAAGAAAATCATGCCTGCACGGGGGCCTCGGAGAGACTTGTGCGTCGTGGTGGTCACCACATCGCAGAAGGGGAAAGGTGAAGGATGCTCGCCGGTGGCCACGAGCCCAGAGATGTGGGCGATGTCGGCCATCAGGAAGGCACCCACCTCATCGGCGATCTCCCTGAACTTGGCGAAGTCCACCACGCGCGGGTAGGCCGAGGCACCGCACAGGATCATCGCCGGCCGGAAGACCAGCGCTGTCTTGCGAAGCTCGTCGAAATCGATGAGCCCAGTCTCTGGGTG